GAAATGAGTTCACAGTAACGAGTTGAAACAGAACTGTAAAACAGAAATCCAGAAACAGGCAAGGGGTTGATCAATACGCCCTTTATAATATTAAATCTGTAAAATGTAAATATAATTTTATAATGCTAGCATTTTTGTGTACTGTGCTTTCTGTATTATTATTATTATATAATTAATGATATTAGTTTAATTATGAGTTTATGTACATGTGTAGCATTATATTTTATGCAACATTGCAGGCACTATGCAACTTTTTATTTATGTATGTATTTATTTATTTATTTATTTATTTTCGTGTCTAATGAGCAGTCCTGACTCAGTTTGTTCCCGAGATAAAACATGACAAAAAAGAAAGAATGAAAAAAAATTAGAACATGATGTTTCAGAAAAGTGCAACAGCATTTCAGACAAAACTTTTTACCTACAATCAAAGACACACAGTTTTTTGGAAACTGCATTCCAAATCAGCTTGAATCAAAACCAGACAAGACGCTTTGTGTAAGTTTTTCATTCAGGACCAGTGATACTGTCCATTAGCTGAACCTATACAACTTCCAAGTTGTTTACAAAGGCACTGGAAAAAGAGATGACACCCATTATGAGCCATTCATCCCTTAGTGTGGCATTTAAGTAGAATCCGTCATTGTTAAAGTCCCAGGCGCACAGTAGAGAGCTCATTCTGAACTCTATGGTGGACTATGGCATGTGCCACCGAGAGCTGCTTTGTACCACAGGCAGTGGACATGAAAGAGAATCTGTGTCAAACTCTTAAGAGATAAAGAGAGACTATCTGGTCCCACATGAATGCACTGACTGTCCTCTCTATTAGCGACATAATTCCAGGCATCTTTAATGTACCTCTTGCAGCAAGCTCTGAAGCAGGAGTATAAATTGCTTTCTTTTCCTAAGGGAAGATCGTCCTGTTGGGGAACTGTTAATAAGATCCTTCCACATCTGGAGGGAGGCTTTTTAAAATGTACATCCGCATCGGGCCAGGTACCTAATGCAGTACTTCTTGCCGAGAGCTTTTTAACCAGCATTTTCTTTTGATGGCAAAATATGCAGGCTATAAATAGTATGACAAAATGACAAAATAAGAACATCATAAAAGGAGGTAAAATGGAGTTAAAGATATTCTTCATGTATAGATGCTCTATAAGGAGCATGAGCATCTGAAGACCTGTACTATTGAGCTATGGCAGATGAGAATTATGACTTAAAGGGAAGTTCTAATGCTATTTCATGCATTCTGACTTATTTACACCGTTAAAGAGTTGGATTCTCATGCTAAACATGGTTTCAAAACCGAGTTGGACGTATGACGGAGCATTTCTGTGCCAAATACACTCCTTCAGGGTTTGTATAAGTTTTGGAAAGTTTTTTTTTTTGAGTATGGCCCTGTATGACGTCATAAAGAGCAGAATTCCTTGTATGAGCACTTTTCCCAGAAAACACATCAACCAAAAAACACATCCACACATCAACCAGAGCGAGAGCAAGAGAACGCCCATCAACGTGCTTCATTCGGTTACGGAAGTCGTCGGCAGCACTACACAGGACTTGCTTGAGAAGGATTTGTCATTTTGTATTTAGACAACGAAATCAACGGTCACCAAAGAACTGTGTTTTTGTTTGTCAGGGAAAGATAACCTTGTTAAACTTCCTAAAGAACCCAGCATTAAGGCAACAGTGGATGCTGTTTGTTTCTCCGGGGCAGCAACGGAGTTGTGCAATTGTGTTTGTTTGTTTGTTCCCAGTATTTTGGTGACTAATGTTTTATAAACAAATTAAATAAAATTTAAGTCAAAGTTTTTGATCTGGTTTTATTTATGTCGATGTCAGAGCTTGCAGACAATCGCTACGCAAAAGTTTTGCGTGCTTGTGACTCTTTAGCTCCACCCACGGCATGCCTCTCGGAAAGAAGCATAAAGCTGTATCTTTCTTTTATAAATCTGATAAAACTAAAGACTCCCCGAAGATATGAAGGATGCAATACTACTCTATAGGTACTCAAGATTAACATGAGATTGACTGTGTGTGTTATGTCCCCTTTAAATATTAAGTGCATTTCTCATGCAAAGCTATTGTACGACTTCAGAAGTCTTGGAAAATAATGTACAAGTCATATGGACATAGTGGACAAGGCATAAGATGACTTGTTCTTTTTTTACTTCTACAAACTACATTTAAAAATTTTTACTGTAACATTACATGAAATGTAAGGTTAAATCTAATACAGTTTTCCCTGTATATAGAAAGGAGACTTACTGTTAAGCAAAGTTACCATTAACTACAGTTTTTACAGTAGCATTTTTACAGTCTTTTACAGTTAAAATCCTTGTTTACAGTTTTTCATCCTTTTTGAACATGGTTACTGTATGCTTTCATTATACTAAAAAGCGCTGCTCTAAGATTTAAATAATTGTATTTCAAGGAGAAAAAAGTCATACTGGTTTGGAACAACATGAGGGTGAGTAAATGATGACAGAATTTTGGGGTGAACTATCCCTTTAAGAGAAAGGGATATAATATTGGCACAGTGTTGTAGACAGATCCTAATCTCTTTAATTTATTCTAGAGAGTCTATATCTCTTACTTTCATATTCTTTCTCTCTCAGCAGCAGTTCTGGATTGCATTTGAGATGCTAAATCAAACAGAACAGTCGACCCAAACATAGGTCAGGACAAGCTCCGCCTCCATTCAGATGCACCACTTTCCCAGACATTTGAAACCTCACAGTTCCACTTCAAATGAACTGCAATGACAGACAACTTCCTTTGTAAATCATCTCAGTACAGTACTCCCACTGCCAAGATAGCAACCAGACAAGAACAACAACAACAAAAACATACCAGAATCTGTTTCAAATTGGGAAAGGAACCAGATGCCAGATTTATGCTCTGACAAAAACACAAGCTACCTCGAAACAACCATATGCTTCCACATCATTTCCGACAGCTTTTTTCCTTGATTTGGGTATCTCTCCACAGACTGTTTCCCAATTCCAGCTGACAATAGTTGTGATTGACAGGTGGCTCGTGGGAACTTAACAACACGTGAGGCAAAGGCCAAAGAGCTTGACCCTGCCCGAGCGAGACAGAGAAACAGCTGCTCCTTGCACTATTTATTTGACAAAGAAAACTTTGTTTTTTGACACTCCAACAGCACTGCCATGGTGAGCCATCTAGGCTGTAAAAATAGAGATTTAGATGCAGTATATCACATAATAATAATTACAAATCTATTTAGATGGTCATGCTGAATGGCTGTGGGTGCGTAGGCGTACCAGATGCATCCCTTTGGCATGATTTTGTGTTATAATTAGACAGATTGCCCCTGAAAAATATTTAGAGTAGTTGTGATAAATGGCTAGAGGGGTCTGTGAGCGCTCTGCTCCAGCTCATAGGGGATTGTGAACGATTGGTTTCCAGAACAATGTAAAAGGTCTCTGATGACTACGGAGGAATGTGAAGTAGACTGACTACAGACTGACTGCATTCCCAATGTTTTTAAAAGTTCTCAACATTCTGTTCCAGACTGACTACATTTTAAATTTGGTTTACATTTAACTGGCTTTTAATGATCTGTATAGAACAGTGGTTCTGGACCGTATACTTGACACCTATTGGACTGCATGCATGAAGTATGTTTAGTAACGGGAGCCTAGGAGGACTAGTGGTCGGCCGATATATCGGCCGATATTTGGCATTTTTTAAATATCGGCATTGGCCGATGCGTTCGAGGCGGGGCTTTTATTTTGACAGCGCGCCAGACTTTTATCTCGTCGGCACTGAGAACGGCAGTGCCTGAGCACACAGTGCTCACATTCTCCCTCTTGTTTGCTGTCGTCGTTAACAGTTCTGTCTAATACGGATAGAAGTCTGTTTAATAATAATCAGAAAGAACTGTTAAACAAAGGAATGAAAATGTATACAAAAAGTATTATAACGATTGCTTTTATATTATTAGTAATAGAAAGGCAAACATTATAATACTTTCTTGTTTGC